GATGCGAGAAGAAGGAGAGGTTCCTTTCAAAGTAATATTAGGATACAAATATGATTGGAAATTGGAAAGAAAAAAAAAGAGACGTGAAATCTGATGACAAATGTTACAGCTTAATGATCGACATCTGTTCACTGAGCGCGTACACTAAAAAAAGTAAACATTGATGAGATCAGATTATGTATTCAAACGGATTTGTTTACGTTCGCAAAAAGCACTCGTTCTTCAATGCGCGTTACGTAAAAATACGACCGGCGATTAATATCGTGCTCATTAATATCGTGCTTCTGATCACAAGGTGATCATCCATACTCGGTGGTGTTAAAAATAAATACTAAAAAAACGTCGATAAGCAGAGTTCTATAGTGCGAGTTTTAAAGAGCTTTAAGGATATCAACTCTCTAAATTCTTTGGGGTGGAATCTCATTGCGAATTCGATTGGACGTACTCAGTGTGCATTGGTGCATATTAAAGTCATCTGCACAAATTGATGTAAAAATACGTGTTTAACATATACTGTCTAAATTCTTTGAAATGGAATCTCACTTTAAAGAGTGAGAATTGAGCCAAAGAAGACCGGTGTTCATCATCGATTCTTATATTTGAGTTTTAAGTACAGTCTTAAGATGTCATAAGCCAGTCAAAGGGCTGTATTAGCATCTTGTCTCTAAGACATTACTTAAGACATTTCTTAAAGTAAGAACGAACTATGAATACCACCCTAAAAGTAAGGCTTTACTCTCCAGAATGAGATTCACTTCAAAAGTTTTAGAGAGAACATTCGGCGCTTTATATTATTACAATACATCATAAATGTTCTGTTACAGATAACAACAGGCGATTGTTTGCTCATCGATCGACGTGGATATCGTCCTGCAAATCTCAAAGAGCACTCGCGGTTATTGCATTCCCGAGTCTCTCGCCATTTCCGAGAGTTTACCTCTGTCGTTATTTGTCAGAGTAGCTAAAACGATTCTCGTGTCGTCGAAGGGTTAACAACGAGAGCGAGATTCGCATTGGAAGAGAGAGAGAGAGAGAGAGAGAGAGAGAGAGACCAGAAGGAGAGTTAACACTGAGAAGTCGTTCTCGGATGAGGGAAGGCCTGCTTTCAGAGCGAGGGGCACGTCGAACCTAAACGAGTGAAGAATTCGCCCTGTGTGCGGTACCGGTGGATCATCACAATCGAGTGGACAAACCGCCGACAAACAATAGGGACCTGGCCAGTGGCTTCCGATGGGGTCGTAGTCGCCATACACAACGCGCGCGTATTCGTGACAGTATATCGCGATGATAGACTAGTCGGTAGCGGCAGGAAGAGATCGTCGTAGGGGGAGATCGCCATAGCTAATCGTATCACCCAAGGTGGCACAGATTGAGAGCCCCATCAGCATACATCCTCTCCTGGCTAACGAGATACCCAGCATCCATCCAGTTCGCGCGCGCCGATAAGCCGCTCTTGCGTCGACGTCGTTGTGCATCAGCTTCCTGATCGGCCTGAACCGCGATTCTACGAATTTGATATCCGCGAACATATAAATTACCGAGAATTCCGTTTATCATTTAAGCGGGAGGAAGAGAGAAGGAGGAAGTCAAAGGATCAGACTTGGGATTAGCGCTAATCGACGTTGGAGCATTTAATCCTTCATCCCCGTCATCCACGCGCGTGTCCTCGACCTCTTTTATCTTCGTTCTCCATCGCGTCTCGTCCCTCTTGGCTTAAATCGCGCCGCGAGCGTCATCACTTGGACGTGCAATTTTATTCACGAAAAAAAAAAACGGCGACGTGAGAGGGAGAAGAGAGACAGGCAAATTCGCTCTTAGTGCCCCTCGACGATCCAGCTCCGGCGATTCTCTTCCCCATCGGGAAGTCCGCCGCTTCCGGCTAACTGGAAGTGAACGCTCTATGTAAACGATTGCTGAGCATTGGTTCTCATTGAAACACATAGAACGCAGGAAGCGCATCATGGAAGTGGCAAGCGAACTGTAAGTACGATCTCTCTTATCGCGTGAGATATCGCTGGATTTCTATTTATTCTTAACTTTAACAATTATTTGTATAATTTGTATATAATTTGATTGATTAATGAACGGCTAAACCTGAATTTGTGTGCTATGTGCAGTCATAAGACATCTTAAAGATATCTTAAAGATATTCTTTAAAAAGTCATCTTGAAAACGTCTAAAAGATCTTGAACTTTTTGCTGGGTAAATATCCTTCTCAAAAATTTGTCCTACTTATTCCGACACAATTAGTTGGTCATTTGTTTGGAATGAACTACATTTTATTATGATGAGCTATCATCATCAGCTGATAACCATATGCGACACATGTATCGAATAAACTTTGCCCTCTGAATCTTCTGACCCAATTCTTCTTGGAATGTCTAGACTTATAAGAAAAGTGTCAATACAATTTTTGATAACGACTATTCTAAAATCCAATTTCCAAAAGATTTTTTCACATAAACATGTTATTAACTCGAATGTATTTTTAATATTTAAAATATAATTTTGCAAATTGTTTCGCAAATCCGTTGATTAATATTTTTTTTCTCAAGATTTCTTAAATATTCTTTATAGTTTTTTTAAGAATTATTCTAAGAATTATTATCGTTTTGCATACACTTGTCACATGGCAAAACAAAAATCATTCATATTGATTTACATTTGTTGCATGTTCACTTTTTAAGCTTAAATAAAATAAACCATTTTGTTAATAAATTATACATAATGTAAAGGAGAAACAATCTCAATTTTTTGCGTGACTACTGTGGATTGCATGTTCTTTTTCTTCTCTCTAATTTTATTTTTTAATTTCTGCGATATTTCTGCTCACGCGATAATCGTGTGATAAAATATGCGTGACTTACGACGATTTCAATCGTCTTTAAGCTAATTATGAATTAATGTATCGTTTACTTCCGTGGATAGGTTATAACTTTTTATTAGCAGTTTAGTGATTAAATAATGAAAAGTTATGATTTAATCATAGTAAAGGCTAATGATATACTAATTATATATTAAATAATAATTATAATTTAGCTAAAACATGATAAACATCAAACATTAAAGCGATTAAAATTGTTGTATCGTATATTTTATCATAATATGCGATATGTCTTAACTTCTAATAATCGTTTAGACATTTACTTTAACAGAAATCTAATAATCTAATTAATTTAATACTGAAAGATAGTAATGTGTTTATTTGGAGAACCAAAAGTACTGTTTTAATACTTAAAATAAATAATTAATTACTATCTCTCAAAAAAAAAATATTAAAACGGGATTGAGACATTTCTGTAAGCTGTCATAACAAAAAAATATCGCAGCGATTAAATAAACTGGAAAATAAATTGGAAGAGAGGCAATTAATACGCGTTTATGACACCGTGACTTTCCCGATATGACACAATATATCAACAATTCGATTTGCATATGTAAAGTCTGAGTCAGGAAATTAAGACGTAATACTTTAGTCAATTTAATCATGACTTTATCGCGATTCGCAATTAAAAATCACAAGTCGCATTTCTATAAATACTCGTGAATGGAAGTCATCCTGCTGCAGTTGATCCATTGTACGCCGCGTCATATATCGCATTCAGCAGCAGCGAGATTTATTGGCACAGAATTCCATAATAGCAACAGTGGGTGCTCGGCGGTTGCTCATTAAATCATTGTTAGGCCCATTCTTTGTGATAAGGAACAGAGGGAGAAGACGATGGTATGTGACCGCGCGCATAGCGCGTAAGAAATCATGGTCAATTGTAATGAGAATTGCGGAGATGCAGCTTCTTTGGTGGTGCTCAACTGTATATTGACGAGTAAGCTTCTTGTCTCGAAAGGACGCGCCTCGCGATTCTTTTAAACAACACCGATTACAATTCGTAGCAAAATTTTATTTATAGTACTTTTATTTATAGTACTATCTATAGTACTATTTTTATTTGCCATAAAAGATTCTGTTATGTGAATTTTCAAGCAGAATATAAGTGTCAATGACATCAAAATGACGTCAAAATGACTCCAAAATAACTACTAAGGATCATTGTGTCAATTAGTAAATGATTTCATTTTCACGTCATTTTGACGTGACTGCTTGAATCGTTTAAATTGTACCTTTAAAAAATGACGGAGACTTCTCGATTATAAAAACATATAAGAGCAAAAGATTCTCGTTCTAAACATAGTTTTACAAAGAAGCACTCTTTAAAACAATTTACTAAATCTTAATACATATTTTTTTGAATGATAAACATTACTTATAAATAAATATTTATTAAATTAAAAAAAAAGTAAAAAATGAAATTAATGATTTTTGTATTAAATAAATATATGTTTACGTTTAGTAAACATTTATTTAGAACTATTCAAACAAATATTTATTAAAATTTAGTTTTTTTCAGTGTACAGAATATTTGATTAACAAAATTTACATTGTTGATTTATAATTAAATAAAAAATGCAAACTTGCGACATATCCGGTGGAAATACACAAAATATACTTATCATCGCGAATGCGAAGCTGTGCGATAGAGAAGTTGTACACGTTTATCCTTATTGCTGATAAGGAAATGCATGCTTCGCCTCTATCGCACTAAATTATAACTGCAAGTTTATTTCGTATCTCGTGCAATCACCGCTGTCGCGATAGAATTTGATTTAGCAGACTGGGCGTGCATCGTTTTTGCTTATTTTCACATTGCGTGAACAATTTTATGCAGAATTACCATTACTTTAGTAAGTTTTGCATTCGTATCATTAAAATAACGAGTTTTGGTATAAAATTTTCAATAATTAGTAAGATTAACGAAAAAGAAGTTCTTTCCTTCTATAATTCCACTGTCGCTTTTCATCGAAACCTTGTATCATCCGATCATGCGTAAAGATGTCAGGTACAATGTACACGCATAATACGTGTAAAACTGTTTACCATAGCTCGCGTGCTAATTATTCAAATACAGAAGGTTATAGACGGTAAAAGCAGAAGAGTCAAAAGATGCGTTTTTATGAAGGTTTTTATCTGTTGACTGTATAATATCTTATAATTAGAATCAGACGCGATTCTGACACGCACTCAAGCTTTTTGCACGACAGTTACGGCGTACTTGAAATAATCTTACCGAGACGTCAAAATTCGAGGCAAATATTTGCAAAGCAACAAATTCTATCTTTGTACATATCTTTTCCTGTCCCTGTGCATTTTTCCTGAATGAAATATTAAGCATCAAGAGAGATTACAAGTACTATAAACAATCCTTTTAGACTCACGTCCAATGACGTAGGATTTTCAAAATAAATAAGAGAGAGAGAGAGAGAAAGAAAAGAAAAGAGATTTATCTGTATCGTAAATCTTGCATCAGTGGGCAATTTCTTACGTAAGCGTATTCAACAAGTTGTTTGCCGAAGATAATTTTGGAACTTTTACTCGAGCCAACGATGTGGCATTGAATGTTTAGCACAATACCACGTGCTATTCTGCGATTCAAATTCAATTAATTAATTAATTTATTTTATTGATTTATTTATCCGTTCATTGCTCCGCTTTATATTCGGGACAAATAAAAATGAGAGCGTGAGAGCTGCGGCGTAATGGGTCTATTATTCCCATTTCTAACTATACGCTTAATCCTCTCTTTCACGCTAATCTCTTCTAGCAAATTGCGTCTACTTATTATTCCCACTTTTAACCACGCCTAATCTTTTCGCGTATTCTAATTCATTTTAATCGGTTGCGGTCACTTTAATAGCATAGTCTTCGCAAATATTCTTGGCTCTGCCAGCCGATCGCGGATTTCAAGTCTTACTCGAAATACATATATAGTACCATTTGGTGTTCAAGAGACCATAAAAATTTTTATTTCCGTCACTCGTTAAATTAAAAAGGTTCCAATTGCACACGTTATTCGAGACGAGCACTGCAAGGTGATACCCTTTAACTCGGTACTCAGTGCAATTTGTGAGCGCCGTCGATTAACTGTAATATAAAACTGCGCGAAAAAGAACAATGCAAAAGTATACATATTATAGAATCGCCGGAAACGGACGGCATGGGTTTTATCGTTATTGTCCGGTATTAATTCTCATGGACGATATTTTCCCATCTGTCCGGATTGTTTTTCAACGATCACGTGAGACCAACGTGTCATCCGGCATCTGCGAATGACGTTATGCATCCAAGTGTCGCGCTATTGACGGATTAACTGGGACAATTAATACGTCGCCGTCGTTCGTTTACCTCGAAGTTCTCATTCATTGCAGAACTTTATAATCCTGTGATGAACATCACATTGCGAAATCTGGAAAAATCCAGCGCGATCCAGTTTCAAGTATATTTGTACAATTCTGGATAAGATAAAAATACCGGTCAGTCCGTAAGGACGCAGAAGTAGGCCAAGATCTTCCTTCCCTCTTCCCCGTGCAGACATTCGTATCGGCGCAGGTTCGCGCCGGAACTTCGGTATGAGAGATGGAAATAATGAAAACATCCACGAAACGATCCATGACGAACACCCACGTCGCGTTCCTACTATCGTGTTCTCCATCGTTACTCGTTCGCTCCGAAGGTTTCGTTAGTTTGGTATTTTATCGCTCCTTTTCCTCGTGTTGTTAACTGTAAATTATTCATATTTTTTTTTAACGTTATTTGTCTGACGTAATTAATCGCGTGGGATGTTTGTAACACGTTACGTCTCAATTTTCATTGTCCTCTTTCAGTTACTTATAATTGCAATTAAAATTACAGTAAATAAAAATTGATAACATTCAATATATCTTTTAGATGGAGTTAAATGTAAAAAATTTTTTTAATTATGAATCAATTTTGCACTAAATATATGATATCGTGTATATAATAATAATAAAAGATCACTTTAAAGCAACAATTGTGATTACGAATTAAAATTAATTTATTCTAAATTTGAAATTCATACATAATTAAAATAGGTAGTAATTTTTTATGATAATATATCTTGCAGTGTTAAATATATGATATTAATATATGATTGCTACATATTATATGTGTAGCAATCATATATTTAATGAATTTATAAGACTGAAGTGTCTTGGACACTCCATGCTAGTAATGAAAGAGTAATGAGCTATGGAGAGATGGTTTCGATAGGCGCGAATCGCGAGGAACTTGCACAATTGAAAAGCACAGGTAACAGGAACAAGGAATAAAAAATTTCAACTTATCAAAAACCAGCGTTCTACTATACCCTACGATTGCCGGTTGATGGTTCTACTTTAGCCAATTATGATGCAACGAGTACAGACAAACTGCATCGTGGTTTGCTAAAATATAACTGACAACTAAAAATCGCAACTGGCAACCAGTAGTGTGATTACGATTTTACGTTTTCTATTGTGATTGATCGATTTGCTTACTGTTTACGTCTTACTGCCTTACTATTTTTCTATGTATTTCTGGCTTTACGACCACGTGGCTCTACATATAACACTCACAAGTCGTGCACCCGGAAGATCTTCAATTTGGGATACTCGGAAGAACTTGGCAGAGAGAACTAATCGCCGAATATATAACATTAGTTTACACTGCAAGCTCCGAATATTGCTCTTGTTAAATTACAGTAATCTGATACTCGATCGTTCCACATCAACAAAATTGTCGAAATCAAGATTTAAGAGGATCCTAAAACTGTCTATATTATCGACTAAATCATAATCGACTATATCATAATTTTTGTTACAACAATTATTTTTCTCCTCTTTTATAGATTCGAAAATTCTTTTCCGGGATTAAAGTATACGCATTACGTGAGGTGGAGTTTATGTCAAGAAATTCAATTTCGAAATTTTTTTCTCGGCATAAACTCCATCTTACAAACACGTATTAATGTGTATCTTTAATCCTGGAAAAGGATTTTCGAATCTACAAAAGAGGAAAAAAGTAATTGTTATACAAAAATTATTTAATTGGTAATATACAAACGGCTTTAGGGTCCTTTTAAGACCAGAGCACAGATTTTTGCGTAACATTTAAAGCATAAGAAAATCAATCAATCAAAGACTTTTTTCATGAAAAGGAAGGAAATAAAGAATTTTAATTGGTTCATTTTTTTATACGTTATGCAAAACTTTGGCGCTCCCGCCCTTATCGATGTTTTATTAATACTGATGACATCATTAGCATGAAGATCATTAGCATTAAAACAGCGTTCTTCTACAATAGTGTTAGATACATACGAGCTACGTCCTTGATCGATGACGCAATCGCGAATAAAAAATTTAGGCGAGTGTATCTCTGACCGGTTTTCTCAGTGGCACGTGCGAGGTACTCGTCACCGAGAGTCGGTGACATTTTACAACGATAATATTTTTGTATAAGTCTAAGGCAGATTGACAGATTTACATATATAATAATTTCTAATAATTTCGTTCTAATAATTTCTTCTAACCTACGCAAATGAACTCACACTTCGTCTCTTGTGCCTTTTGTTGCCCTTTATGCCGTCACACGCACAATCGCATGGAACAAATTTTGTATTGAAATCGCATCGTGAAAACTGTTGGACACTTGAGTGATTACTAAAGTCGTGAGTTATTTCAAAAGTGATTGCATAGAGGCGTATTTATTTCTGCCACATGGAAACACTTGATGAATACTACGAAATGTAATTCATCTATAAATAATCAGCGATTCCGCATTCCAGTTTATCATGCCTCGTTCTTCAAAAATATTGTATAAAATTTAATAGAAATTAGCAATTTCAAATTTTGACTTTTAATTAAAAAAAAAAATAATTAAAAAGTGTCGTATGCATTTTAATGTGATAAATTAATTATTACATACAATTTGTAAAGTCACACCTTTGTAAATTTATATATACTTTGTAACGCCTGCGTATTAAAATAAATAAAGCCTTTGCGTGATCCGCTATTAATTTCATAAAAGCTTTGCATCAGTAAAAGCACGTAATAAAAAAATAATAAAAATACATTTCTTAGAACAAATACGTAGCATTATTCCATGGATAATTAACATATCGTTGTATAAAGAGGAGAAATAAAAGGAGACTCTACGATGACAATCCGCAGTACAATTTCTCGTCTCTTACCAGCTACATACGAATATAGCTCGTGGATACTGTCAATACTTCCGTGTATTTTCTCGTATATTTATTGTATCGTGATAAAGGCGATTCGCCTCGACGGATTTCGACGGATTTCGAAGGATTTTCTATTGTCCAAAATCATTATCAATTAATTTTAATCGATCGTCATAATCGTATTACTTTTCCAATTTCAAATCGAGAATATCTTGCATTTTTTTTACACACAGAGAAAAAGATTTGTTTAGATTCGAAAGTTCTATTTATATTAATTTGAAAATTTAATTTCATTGAAAATTTAATTTTAAATGAAACATGTATTGTTTAATAAAAAAAATTGAATTTTAATGCAAATAATCACATTGTTAATTAAATATCCATTTGGTTGGATTATTCCAATTTGCAGGAATTTGTTTAATTTAAAAAAATCTTTTCTGCCTCTGCATAATGTGTGGATTTTTTTATGCAGTTAGCTCTTTGATACATTTCCTTGTAAATTCTGCTGAAATTGCGTTTGATATGCTTCAGAGAATTGGAGGACTCCTTTCAACTTGAAATAGTTGATGATTTAGTTTCCTATTAATCACAGAAGAGATTTGTGCTCTCTGAAAAGTGCCAGATGTAATAAATCTGAATTTTTAAAAATTGTGTTATGCAACGTCATCGTGTGAAATGCGGTTGCCAACAATCGAGAAACGTGCAAATTGAGCGTTAATCTCAGATCCACATACTATAACAAAGTGTTAATTATTGAAGTAAACAGTACGATTGTTCTGAAATTGAAAGAAGTGCAATGAAAATATTTTGAATATCACTCGCGATATTTAGCGATACATATTATGACGTATTAATTTTCTAAAATAAATTCTAATAATTATTTTATAAACCATTTATATATTCTTGATGCGAGTATTATGAACGCTGATGGAACAGAATAAACAAAATTTATTTATGATTTTAAGCGAAGCGCGGAAATATAAATTTTTATGAGACAATAAAATCGTGACAAGAATAAATAAATTTCGCAAAAACTGAAATTTGAATTTTTAAAGCCTACATTACTTTTTGTTTATTATTTTGTACTTTGATTTTTGCAACTTGAGATAATCTCGATAAAAACCAAGGATTATATGGCAATAAAAAACTTATCAATTTATCTTCCGTTGATTATAAGAGTAAAATTTATAAACAAAAATCTTATACTTTCAAAACTAGCGATAAAATTGATATTAATTGAATTATCTGTGAATATTTCATAAATGATTAAAAATTTCCAAGAGATTATTATACCTACTGTTAGTGTAATTTGGAAGAAATATAGCTCTTATAAAATAAATGAAAAATTAACGTATTTATCTCATAGTTATATTGCCTGTTGACATATATATATATATATATAAGAATAGACGTAAATTATGAGGAATTTACGTCCTTGTTTTATAATTTCCAAGGTTTAGAAAAAACGTAAAAGAGTCATGTTCACTGCGAAAAATCTTAGAGCATAAATCTCTGTTACTGTGTTACAGTGATCGTCTCGAAGTCGATACATTTACATGTCGACTGTGCATGCAGAATAATCTGAGATCTGTCCTTTAAATTAAATTAAATGTGTGTATGTGTGTGTGTGTGTGTGTGTGTGTGTGTGTGTGTATCTATAAGTAATCTTATCTTTTTGCGTGATACTGTCTTGTGCTCGAAATTCAGAATTAGCAAGCGTAATAAAAATAATTTGTGCGTAGGTTTAAAAAATATTAAACCTCGTATTTCTCAAAACCGACTCGTTATCAATGAATTATTTGAAATAATGAGACTACGACGCAATATTCTCAACATTTATTCTGAACATTTATAATAGAAATTATTAAATAAAAGGAGAAAAAGTTATATAAAGAAGAGAAGAAAATGTTATCAATTTGTTCCAGATCGCCGTTATCGGGGGCGGAGAATCAGGGCAAGATCAAGGAGAGGAGTTCGTACTATCCCCAAGAACCCAGCAAGAGGCCACAGACTACAGGGCAGAAAATGCGAGCTTGTCTGGGCCATAACGCGCTAACTATATTGACAGTTAGCGGCGTTGTCGGTGGAGTGATACTCGGCATCATCTTACGAAACACACGTGAAAAATGGACGCATCGCGAGATCATGTACATCAATTACCTCGGCGACCTATTCCTTCGGATGCTCAAGAGCTTGATCCTGCCGTTAATCGTCTCGAGTTTGATATCGGCCATTGGCTCTCTCGATCTATCTCTCAGTGGCAAGATCGGTGTACGTGCGATTGGTTATTACATGGTCACGACGATCTTCGCGGTTATTCTAGGTCAGTGAAAGCCCAATTTAACTCATCGCGCTACAATCAATATAATTATTCATTAGCCACGGCATGTCGAGATTATTTTAATGCGAATAAGAACAGAGCGATAAGCCAAAGAAACGTGTATCCAAAGTACTAATTGTACAGAAAACGAGAGGCAAGGAAGAACAGTTTTGCTAAAGTATCTAAAAGTTTAGCTAGATACAGATTTGCAAATAATTTTGTTAGATCATAAAAATAATTTTGTAGTTGCTTAACCGGGCGTCATTGTACTAAAATGTACACAGATGTTGACATGAATCATGATAACCCGAATATTTTTTTGATCTATTCTCGCAGTACCAACAATGGTTTTAGAAAGGCTTAACTCCAGCTACAGTTAGTTAAAATCTACGAAGTATGTAAGAAAATACAGATGTTTAAAAATGTCTCGGGTCATTATGACCCAGTCACAATAACGCCGGGTTAAGCATTGATGATAATACTGCAAAAAGTTCCGACATTCTATTCAGTTTGAGTGTCGTATATAATTATTTTGATGTCTAAACAAAATTATTTTCAGCTCTATATCTAGTTATATTTTTAGATATTTCAGCAAAATCATTTTTTCTGTGCGGTAAAATGTTATTAGCTTTTATATAATGTAATTTAATAATGTGAATAAGATGTCACAGGCACAAGGTTTAATAGTAGATAGTTTTCGACTGATGTATTAAAGATGTAAAACTTGTAAATCATTAAAATTTACCTATGATATATCACGTACCATAATTCAACAATTAATTATTATTGAGTAATGAATGATGGTTCAATTATGATATATCAAATGTGAATCTCTATAAATATAATATTTTACATTTTTAATAGCTTATAATTATATCTATTATTGAGTCTTGTACTTATCTATAACATCTTTGCTCAGCAATTATAAGCTGTTAAATTATCACCAGTATTCATAGTCAGTTTCTATATTTAAGAACAAAAAATCCAAAAAAATCAATCCAAAATCTTAAATCTTTATTCCAGAAAATAGAATCTTTATTCCAAAAAATAGTTTCAGTTCACTTTGGAACCTCAGCAATATTACAAAATATCAATCCTTTCATGTCCAAGAAAAAGTCACCATTAGATTAACATTAATATTCGAAACATTAAAATAATTATCGTATAAATATTTCGATTGAGACTATTTTGTCTATCATATGAGTATAAAATGAAGGCACTCAGATACAAACATTTAAGAAAATGATCTCCTAATATGATGACATTCTCCCAATCGAAATCATGTTCAAATTCAATATTTTATATTTAAGACTAGATTCATGGTCGGTATTTATATTTAAGCTACATTATGACTCATAGTTAGTATTTATATTAAAAAATTTTTTTATATTTAAGTTTAGCATAATCATAAAATATCATAAATCAATCATAGAGTTGTATTAGTATTTTTTTCAAGCAGAACAACAAGTCGCGATAATGTCAAAATGATATTAAAATGAATCGGAAATGATGAAAAAATGACTTTTAATGATCATTTTGGAGTCATTTGGATATCATTTTGATATTATAATGACTTGCTGTTCTGCTTGTGTGAAGACATCACTTAAGACGATTTTAAAATAAGAAGACTGTGAATACCGACTTGTATGTGAAAAATAATTTATTCCATCGTGACCCAAATTTTCATATAATTAATGCAGAGTCTTTTAATTGATACTTTAATATAATTGCATATTTTTACGCACAGCTGGACGCATTTAGCGTTTTAAATAACATATCATAAGGTTAAACGATTGCTCGCATCAACGGCGCAAATCGCGATTAAAGAATCGCGGCATCGCAACAGCGCGGACAATGATACATTTCTTAGAAACTATGAATGCGATGCGACAAGTGACAGATGCTACACAGTATCCGTTGCATTTACATATATCTGGTCGCGGAAGGAATGCGTCTGATAGCTCTGAATTCTCATGACTCATCTCGGTTAATTAACGCGACCAAGTAGAGAATGAAGCGCGAACGCATCAGACAATATAAATTAGCAACAGATTACTCGGAGGCATTATCACAGAAAGTTCGCGCTATTTGATCGCTATTTTTCCAGCAACGAACAAATATGACGTTTTATATTGCGTTAGAAGATTAGACCGGTTATAACTTGAAATTTTGCTTACATATCGCACTCTTCTTTTTCTCTAGAAATCGTTTTGTTCTTTTTTTGCAGCATTATCGCATCAACTGAATTTCTATTTCTTATGATTGTGTCATCATACTTATCTCGTTTTTATTGCGATCGACATAACGTTCTTCTCAACTCCCATTTGTGATTAATTAAGCGAAAAAAACAATTCGCAATGTCTAATTGCTGATAGCGAGTAACAGTTGCCTGTTAAACTTTGATCCTAGGTATAATTCTGGTTGTCTCGATCCAACCTGGTGTCGGTAGTTCCGCCTCGGAGAGCAAAAGGCCAGCCCAAAACATTTCTACCGTCGACACATTAATGGACCTAGTCAGAAATATGTTTCCGCCAAATCTCGTGGAGGCCTGTATCTCCCAAAGTCGAACCGAGCCTAAGCCACCTGAGAATGGCAATGGTAATAATTTTTTTTAGTTAAAAAAGTGTTTTTTTTTTATTCTTAATTACTCGCATAGAACATCCCGTCTTATAAATTTATTAAATGACTTTCTAAAATTTTTAGAATGAATCTCACTCTTAAAAATTGAAAATTGAGCTACTCTTTTTTTCAAAAGTTCCACTCCAAAGAATTTAGGAAGTATGAATGCCGTTTATACATGGAAAGAACGATTTTGTCTAAAAATTTAGGCTGAGATACAGATCTAAAAATAAATTTGATTATACTGTCAAAACAATTATGAAAGAAATTCAAACATGATGAACAATCCAGCAAAAAATTTTGACATTGTAGCAATTAATTTGAAAATCTTACATAATTATTTTGATAATCCAACAAAATTTATTTTCAGATTAGTATTTACTTAAATTTTTTTTAGTAAAACCGTTCTTTGTGTATACCTATTATATTTAGCACATATTATTTCAATTTGTAAAAAAATTTTTTTATATGTATATTTTGATCTAAAGGATGTATAGAACATTATATATATCAATCTTTATTTAATTGTAATCATTAAAGAGATCAAAGAAAATTGAGATATAATGTTAGTGTCAGAAACTTCTCAATATATTTTCATCGAGTTGATAGTTATGTAAAAAAAAAAACCATACAAGTAATGTAAGCTCAAGTAGAATAACAAGTGATAATGTCAAAATGACATTAAAATGAATTGGAAATGATTGAAAAATGACTTTTAACGATTTTTAGAGTCATTTTGACATCATTTTGATATCATAGTAACTTATTTTGCTTAAGTGTTAGATTACACAATATCACTAATTTTTCATTTTAATCAGTTTAAATTAATATTTTGCCTGTTTTTAGTTCCTTTAAATGAATGGGAACTGGAGGAGAAGACAGTCTCTGGTTCAAATATTCTTGGACTCGTTGTGTTTGCGACGGTGATGGGTATCACCCTCGGTAAAATGGGACCGCAGGCGAAGCCATTGTTAAGTTTCTTTGACTCGCTATCCGGTGCTATGATGCTGATTACAAACTGGGTCATATGGTAAGACTGTAAGACTGTAATAGCTAAGTAATAGCTAAGTATCCGCTTCTCGAGACACGTATAATTTTCTCAAGGAAAACTCGTAGAACGTCTATCGTTGCGTAACCGTCGATGATCGCGCATTTTTGTCGTGATAATTCTATCGTCTCGACTCTTGCTTATTCTTCGTCGAATTATAAAGTCTCCGAATTAAAAATCTCAAGAATATTTCTGTTATGTATGCAGGTTATCACCGATTGGCGTGCTCTCTCTGGTCGCTTCAAAGATCACGGAGATGAAATCGCTCGAGGAGGTAGTCGGCCAACTCGGAATGTATTTCCTGACCGTATTGATCGCCCTGATCATACATGGTTTCCTGGTGTTGCCTGCGATATACTTTGTTCTCACAAAGAAAAACCCTTATACATACATAGCGAATATGGCGGAAGCGCTCGTCACTGCCTTCGGCACGTCTTCGAGCTCGGCGACGCTGCCACTCGCCATCAGTTGTCTTGAAGAAAAAAACGGCATCGATTCCCGTGTCACCAGATTCGTCATGCCAATAGGTGCTACCGTAAACATGGACGGTACCGCTTTGTACGAAGCTGTAGCTGCCATTTTTATCGCTCAAGTGCGTAAGGTTCCTCTTTCCTTTGGACAGCTGGTAGCGGTAAGGTGAGCTTTCCCATTCATTTAAGTCTTAGAAATTCATTTCGCAAAGAAAGATGTATTTCTATACGAAAAAAATTTTGCTAAAGTATTTAAAAATTTGCTAGATACAGATTTGAAAATAATTTTGTTGGACCATCAAAATAATTATGTAGAGAATCCAAGCATTATGAGCGATGCTGCAAAAAATTCTATCAATCACCTTGTGTGAGCATTTTACATTTATTATTGATATCCTCTAAAATTTTTAGAATGAATTTTCTCACTCATTGAAAATTGAGCTAGTCTTTTTCAACTCTTTAGAATAAGATTTTATTCCAAAGAATTAAATAATTATTGATTGAGTCCAACGAAATTATTTTGACGTCTATCTCTAGCAAAATTTAATTTTAGATACTTCAACAAAATCATTTATTTCATATATCCAATTTATTACATCTAATACTTGTTCTAGTATCACGGCGACCGCTGCCAGTATCGGTGCGGCTGGAATTCCGCAGGCCGGCCTAGTGACCATGGTGATGGTGTTGGACACAGTACGACTTCCGGCCAACGATGTCTTCTTAATTATCGCGGTTGATTGGTTACTGTGAGTGTTCTTCTTTTTATTACACTAAATTTAAAAGAAATATCTGTAATGTTAAACACGATGCGTTTGCATAATTTGCAGAGATCGATGTAGAACAACCATTAATGTTATCGGTGACTCGCTCGGCGCAGGAATCGTGCTCTCGACATTACCGCACAGCACGCAGCAAACGCAAAACGGAGCCGATTGTCACGCGACCACGTCGATATGAGCTGAGATGTTTATTAATCATTAAACCGCATCTCCTTAAGAGCTTCGCGATCGAAAGATCGATCATCTACGGCAAACATATCGGCACACTTATTGCGCGGCTTATCGTTGAAATATTGCCATATAACTTCTTGGACTTGCGAGAGTCCGAGAATTGGAGTATATATATATAAGAAAATAAATTTAATTTAAGGATTAGGATTAAGAATATGAGTAAATATGGACGACAACATGATATTACTTGTTATAGCCGTGTCATGTCTGAGATTTCTAATTTTTGAGTTTTTATACATAAGTTATCATAAAATTTTGAAGAATACTATACGCCGTTGACGGGTATCTACATTTTTAATCATACAATATGGCAACGATCGCGAGACGCGATCCTGACAAAGTGTTCTTGCGTACTCAGAGTAAGTGTTCTGTTTTTATCTTAGCCAAATATCAGTTTAGTTATTAATTATTCTACACGAACCAGACTATGAAGGGAGCAATCGACACTGTATCATCATATCCTAATGCCATATCTGCGATATAAACGCACGCGGAATGTGAGGAGCGCGCGCGAATATTTTCCTTCAGTTATGTGTATGCAAGTACTATAAAAGAAAAGAGGATTATTTTGGTAGTCACTTACTTGACATCCATTCCGCGACATAAAATATAAATGTACGTAACTATAGGACAATGAAATATTGATTATTAATGTGTAGCTCGCGGTGCGAGCGATGTTCTTTAGATGATTTTCGAATATAAGATATGCTTGAAACTAAATAACTTCTTAACTTTAGTCATCGTAGACTCCATTAAACGAATTTGCTTGTAAAATGTATAAGTATATAGAACATATATATACATTACATATTCTTGTCTTCCATTTTTGCGTTTTACCAGAATTACGCTTATATGATATTGTAACGTTATATTTCGTTTCAGCCGCATAATTTGGACAGTTCGGTTTTCCTTTGCGAGTTATCTCTACGTTTCTTTAGAAGATTGCATTTATGATTGAGGAACTCGTAAAAGATTCACGAAAAACAAAACGTATTTTGAAAAATTGACTTTATTATGATTTTACGATAAAGAGTCTCAAAGTGTTTATTGTTACTTTTTTTGTACGACAATAGAAGCGAGGATTACATGTATAATTTTTGCTCGCACATATTATTCCGCGGCGATATATGTTAGAAAATAATTTATATATATATATATATATATCGTCATGCAGTTCGTGCCATAGATTATTGCCATCATGTTTCGAGGGTAGCTTTTACACCTACTTGATATCCAGTGAATAAAAGCAGACTTAATAAGTTCGATGCCATTAGCAACAATCAACCGCGGGACTTAACCCTTAAGTATGAAGCAATGTTGATCATTTCACAACCCCATGACTCTTCGATTGAGAAAACGGATATGCAATTTTCTGCATTTTACATATTTCTTCACGCGATGAAAAAAAATCATAACACAAATCTGGCGAAAATAAAAATCGGAGGGTAATTCGTCTTTGTAGAAATTTAATATTATTACTGGTCAATTATTATGATCACATATTTTGAATATTAAAAATATTATTCACTATAAATAGTACTTTTAATATTTGGAATAAGTGATGAATTTGCTAATACAAGTATTAAATTTCTATACGGATAAAAGTAAGGAGAGAATGATAGAAGCGTAAACAAAGCTTCTAAGAGATGAAAACTGAGATAACGAAATATAAAAGAAGATAAGGATCTCTTTCACGTTTTCGTTGTCTCAATTTTCGTCTTCTGGAAATATTCAACTTATGTTTCAATTTTCATTTTTGCCAAGGAAGAACGTAAAATATATGTTCAATCGTTGAGCATACCTATCAAATGACGAAAAGCAAAATCCGTACTTAAGGGTTGAAATACCTTTCTTTTTTTTACAATCTTTTGTCTTTCGGCACAACAAAAATGACCATTGCTAAATCATGATGTCTTCGCGTGACATGTAAAAGAATTATGTGGAGAAAATAACAAAAAAAAATAATTAATGAATATATCGCCTTTTATTCACGTAAATCCTTTACTTTAAGATCCCTTTGTTATTTTTTTATACCAAGATTTTCTAATTTCTGACTCCTGCCACATTTGCATAGATTGAAAATTGAAAACAAAATTTATAACATAATTACTGACCTAAATCTATTTGTTAAGAAAATTTTATTTATGTTAATTAAAAGACACTGATTAATTTCAAGGAACAAAAGTAATATAATTCATCAATAATAACAATCAATAAAACAAATCAAACAAAAAAAAATCTCATCATCTAATACATTTTTTATAAAATTTAAAAATTCACAAATATAATTCTTTCGTACAAATATTTATAATTTAATTATAGGTAGAAACTGATTTGACTCATGCCGATCTAAATTCAAATCATGTATTTTTTATTATGCTTTATACAATCAATATACTACAGCCATTTAATTAATATTAATCATTAAGCAGTAAAATATTTTTTATTATAATCAAAAAAACTATATTTTTATTAAAGTTAAACTTAACTAATTTGCCTAATTTCTAAAATCAAAATTCCTAATATAACTTCAATTTTTTAATATTTTTTCAATTTTACTTATTTTATCATTATTTATTATTTTTTATTTTTATTAATTTAAAATAAAATATCTTCTTACATAATTAAATCTATATATTATTAAATTATTTTCATTATTTTTTAAACCCTACATATTATTTATCCCTATCTTAATATCATAAATAACTTTCTACCTAACTTCTGAAAAAGAATAAATATTAAGCATATTTTAATAAAAATAAAGCACTGTTGTTCAGTACTTTTAGTACTCCAAATAAGTAATTAATAACTTTTTTCATTAATAAATTGGTTAGTATCAGAGATTTCTGTATTACAATTACCGTAAAAGACTCAACATTTATATATGATATGTTAATAATCTTTTAACATGTGATAGATATATATTTAGATTTTTAATGAAAGAATCTTACAACAGTTGCAAAGCTGCTTTTTTTGCTGAATACGTCCGAATTCGACGCGAAATTCAGTCGCGTTAACCGTTTCGTTTGAACTAGTTTGAACGCGCGCAGCGCGCATGCGCGGCCGCCATGTTTGCTTCACTTGCGTCGCAAAACGTCGCAGTTATTCGGTCGGTTGGGACGGCATCGAATTGCGTCGCGTTTATTTCACTTTGATCGTATTTTTCTCACTGTCCCGTACGCGAGTGATATCGTGCGTTCAAGTGTGAACACCGTGAACACCGTGAACTAGTACGAGTCGCGATGTGCAAGAATCTTGGATTGAACGAGAGTTACGAGAGACGACGGAGCGGCACGATGGGCAGCGGATGGTGAGAGTCAATTTATTCATATTAATATCTTTTTATCTATCATATTCGTGTCGTTTATCCGCAATTTTGTGTCCCGATTACGCTCAAGCGGATTATCATTTATTCGTGAACATAAAATCGTTCTTACCTGCGTAGTGCGAACGAGGCGATTCAATCACACGAAAGTAGTTAGAATAGGAACGATTTGAAGTTTACTACGCATACGCGCGCGAAATTCTCGCAATGGATGTCGCGATTTTCCAGGTGTGCCACCTTCCTGCGACGAACTTTCCGAACTATAACCTCAATTCGTCTGAATTCCTCTGAGCTGATTGTAAACATAACCGTACGTTGCGTTGATCGCAATGTGCCGGCTTTCAAAAATAATATCAGATTCTCTCTCTCTGACTGCAGTATATTTTACTGGAATATTAATCCTTCTAATAAATATAGGATAATGTCGATATATTCATCTGCGATTCAATGAGAAGTTCGAGAACGTGAGATAATTAGTTAGGTTAGCCGAAGTGTGTTGGTGAAGATGTTTGACGTGGCATTTTTTCAAGCGTGCAGTTTTTTATTTTGATCACAATTTATTGAGTATTTGAGTACGTTTTCAAAATAACCATGAACACAATTTTGTCAACGTTGATGAGAGGCGTCTTCTGGATAATTACCAAAATAACCAAATGTCTCGAGATTCTCGTTCACATAGAGGTGGACTATGATGTTTTTACGAAATTCTTGTTTTACACGTTTCTTGCAAGCACTGCATTCCTTTTCTGGTATTTGAATGGTATCCAATCGGATTATTACATCGATGAGACTTTTCACGTGCCTCAGACGTTACAATATTGTGCATGGAATTTTACGGAGGTAAACATTACAGAGAATTTGTTTTAATTAGAGTGCACAATATATTTTCTTGTATATTTTCTTTAATGCAGTTTTTATGCAGGAATAAGTAAGTCGTAAATTATTTTCAGTGGGATCCTAAAATCACTACGTTACCAGGCTTATACTTTATTACCAGTGCGATATTGTCTCCTTTTAATCTTTGCGACATTACTTACATGAGAGGTATAAATGTACTTGGGGCTTTCACAAATCTCTATCTTTTTTTTAACATTATAAAGGAGAATTGGAAGACCCAGACTGATTGGTGGAACAAATGGTCGATTATCGGACTGATGTATAATCTTACTCTTTTTCCACCATTGTATTTTTGGTCCTTTTTTTATTATACGGACGTTATGTCTGTGAACATGGTGCTTTTAATGTTTTATCTGCACCAATGTAAGTACACAATGATGGTGGCTCTTGCAGGTAATTATTCTGCAACTGTTTAAGTCATGTGAGAAAATATTATACAAATACAACAAAGTAATAAATCACACAGGTTTCCTAGCCGTGCTCATTCGTCAGACGAATATTATTTGGCTCGGTTTCTTTACTATAGAACGCGCATTAGATATATTTGATAGCAGGATAAAGGAGCCTATCTCGCCTGAAAAACTCAGTACTTCATTGCACTTTCTTGTAAGTAACATTACATATTACCTGTGAAAAGAGAAGGAGTGCTCTTATTAAACTGAAGATTGGGATTGAATTTGATCAATCCAAGCAAAGTTTACTAAATTTATATTGGTTTTCTTTCTTCTGATTGACTAGTTGCTTTTCAGCAACAAAACACAGTCACACACTATGTGACACAGTAATACAAGTGTCGATTTGTAACTGAAATGTCACTTAGCTTTTTATTTTACTATCAGTAATAAAGAAAAAGATCTTTTACATCTATGTTTGAATATATCCGAATGTAATTTTGAAATCTCTTATTGAAGTATATCTGAAGTATCACTTCTAGAAAATAATTGGTAATGAAATATTAAAATTTGTAGAATGATTTTTGATATTTATAAAATGATATAAAATGATAACAGTGAAGCATAATTGCGTCAACTTATATTATACTTGTATTATACTTGGAAAGTACGGAATCATATACTGTGTTACACACTGTCGCTTATGTACATTGTTGAAAAGCATCCTTAATCTCAATCTTAGATCGGTATTCATAGTCAAGTCTTATATTTAAGACTGGCTTAAGTACACTCTTATGATATCATGAATTTATTCGGTAGAGGCCGGTATTCATAATCGATTTTTATATTTGAGGTTGTCTTAAGTACAGTCTTAAGATGTCATAAGCCAATCGGAGGGCCGTATTAGCATCTTAAGACATTACTTATAACGGTCTTAAAATAAGAAACTATGAACACTGGCCTTAGTCTTTAGCTTGATACGAGTACTATAGACAAATTAATCTAGTAAACTTGTTAAACTTTTTTTAGTTAATTTGGAGACAACTAATGTACGAATTGCGCAAAGGTCCGCTGTCCTTCGTCAAGTTTGTTGCACAAATATGCGGTAGTCTACTTCCTTATTTAACGGTATGCCTCATGTTTGTTGCTTTTGTCGCGTGGAATGGAGGCATAGTGGTCGGCGATCGTAGTGCCCATGTTGCAACGATCCATGTTTGTCAGATATTTTATTTCTCCGCCTTTGTTTCTCTGTTCTCATGGCCGTACGTTATACCTCATTGGCAAATGTGTTTGCGATTCCTTCATCAGCATTGGATTTTCGTGAGTAGTGTTGTCGCGTTGATGGCCGCAACGATATGTTCCAATACGCTCGTTCATCCGTACATTTTGGCTGATAATCGACATTACTCGTTTTACGTGTGGAATCGATATATGAGCCGATACGCGGAATTCAAATATATGTTGATACCGATTTACTGCGCGAGCTTGTTCGCCATGTCACGGAACATTGCTCATTTGAGATTTCTCACACAGATTAATTATGTTATTTGCGTGTGCGTGATGCTAATGCCTCAATTACTAGTAGAACCGCGTTACTTCATCCTCCCGTACATATTTTACCGTTTAAATATGAAAAGGCCAGAAAGGTGGCAGATTCTTTGTGAATCCTTTACGATACACGCTATCAATTTTTTGCATATTACAATTTTCGCCACCAAAGTATTTTATTGGAAGGATCTGCCCTATGCCCAGCGAATTTCCTGGTGAAATTTACGACGTTGAATGTACAAAATAAAAAAGAATATTTTTATGTAAAGTATATCGACACTTGAGCCATAGAAAGTGTACATTGAAAAAAACATGAAGAAAAGTCTATCAAGAAATGAAAAGTGGTCTATTTTGTGTTCAGTTTATGTCGAAACACATACGAAGTACAGTTTATATCGAAAAAATAAGAAGAACGGTTCAAGTCGCATAAAATTAGAAGGGTCTGTGTAGCGCAATATTATTATTTATAAATTACACGAATTTAGTTATGGAAACTTAAATAATATATGAATAAATGAGTGCGAGAAACAGGATTGAAAATCATTAGGATGATTCCCGTTCTCAATCATACCACTATAAAATTTATGAGAAAAAAATATATTGCGCTATACAACCTCTTGTTCTAACAGTTTGTTAATTGTAATTTCACGGCATATAAGTATATTTATCATCAGCGCACAATACATTAACCAGTTCATTGATAATTATTCATATGTGAATGAAAAAAAGTCATCATATGTTTTTTGATCATGTTGGATTCGCTATTTTGAAATTTCGATCCTGAATTCATCACCAGTAATTCAAAAAAATCCTTGTAGTTGAACTTTCACGTAAAATACGAAATTATTCACTTTTATTTTGACAAAACATTTCGAGTTTACAGTGAACTGGTTAAACGTATTTGGACCAGCTCTAAGCTCAGTGAATTTTTTGATAAATTTATGACAAACACGAAATAAATTCTATTTTCATATAAAGTATTCAATATCTTCCTCAGTGTTTCTATTTCTATGAACAATGTCGACTTAGAAAGACAAGACTAAAGGAAAGATATTAAGAGAGATAATTACTTGGAACAATAGTTTATTGTTCATAACTGAAACTTGTGGCAAAACTGCTAGATGTCTTTGTACAGCAACAGCTTGTCAATTTATAATATAATTTTACGGCACGATATTATCGTCAGCGCACAATATATTAAATGTATTCAATCGACGACCGAGAACTTTTTATATTTCTATTACATTTCTTCGTTATTTTGTCGTATATTATCATTTCCTTATTGAATATAAATGTTGCGCGTAATGTTATAGTAAGAGGTACCGAGATGCAATTTGTGAATCTTCTTCACTTATTCTAAAATTCTTTTTTGTTGATAGTAAGAATTATGTTTTGAGAAAATCAGGTCTGATACAAAAATATCTTTGTAAGTAAATTCCGCAAAAATGAAAAGAATATTATACGCATCAGAACACAATTTTGAGTCTGTATTCCGAATTTGCAAAAAATACTAAACTGGAAAAAACATGAATTAAATCATTCTTATTATAATAGAAAAAAATAGCAAGGGAAATATGTGTGCACTGTAATTTTCATTCCATGAAAAAGTACTCCTATCTTCTTCAATTCTTTCGGATCTGGTGATATGAATATATATATAAAACAAAAGATTAATTATTTTGTTTAGAAATAAAGATTTATATATACAATTTCCGGCTTGCACATATACACTCAGCCTCTGGATTGCCGGAAATTTGAGCATTACTCGTGATGGAGGCGTTTTTATCTGCCTATATCACGTAGAACTGATATTATAAAACAATACAATCGTATATTACAAACTGTTTAAAATCAACGCGCTAAGTACTTTCTAAGATTTCACAAAATTAAAACTAAGAGAGACGTCTTACTTCCTACATATTCTGATAAAACAAAAATAAAATCGTTGATCTATCTATTTCTCTTCCTCTCTTTCTCTCTCTCGCTCGCTTTCTCTCTCTCTCTCTCTCTCTCTCTCGCATTCTCTTTCTTTCTCACTTTAATCTAACTGTGCGAGAATCGCACATATTGCTTGTCGTAAGTTTATTGCGGACCGCATATCCATATAAATCAATTTAAAACTTAAATAACATATCTTTTATACACAAATTTCCGCACATTCTGACAGGATATGTGAGTGAGGAAAAATTTAACGCCATTTCAATTTTTCGACATTTTTCAATTTCTAAATAGTGCAATTATCCTATAGATATTTTATGTATACTGTAATTTTTTCGGTTTTGGTGTCATAGCAATAATATACATATATAAATATATGCATATATAATATATATATATATATATATATATATACACGCATATATAAATATATAAATATATGTATATATATCTTGTAGAACATAAGCGATAAATTATTATCATCCATACGCTAGAAACACTTCTATGGCTATAAAGCGTCACACGCTAGATAAAAGTAGATAAAGTAGAGCACTTTCGTAAATTCATGTGTCGTAAGAAATTATTGGGAATTAAGAAAATGTTTTAAGTTATCCTGGGGGTCAATCATGTAATCTCACGTAAAACTTTTTACGCTTCATCTTTCACTTTTTATTTTTCACTCGTCGAAATTTCACGTGAAACTTTTCACGCATAGCGTGCTTGAATGCGCTGGTTTCTAGGCCGGTATTCATAGTCCGTTTTTATTTCAATATAATTTATCTCCTGAAATAATAATCTATCGACGAATAATATGGCCAGACTTCCATTAAATTTCAAAGTACATTTATTAATTCCGTAGGTTTCCGCCTTTTCGCCACCACGGTTCACGTGAACAAATTCACATTTTCACGGTTGGGAGAGTTACATGATCGATTCCCAGATTAAACTAATGATAAATGTTCCAATACCGTTATTAAAGATATACAATCGAAAGTGCTACTAAATATACATATAATGTACGAGAATAGAAAATTTTTTTGTTATTTTTCCACAGTCTTCCGAGTGTTCGTACAGCAGAACTCCTAATGCCCGAATTAATTAAGCTGAATGATAATTAATACTCTGATTCACGATTAATTACTTTATGTAACTAATTTTTAACTTCGATTTTTTTTAATGTACAAATTGTATAATTGAAGATAACTACATTATTCTCCGATTAGAGAAATAATAAATGACATACGCGAAGTATTTGTATAAATAAGATTAGAGGAAATTATAAAATATTTGATCCAATATTGGTCGAATTTTTACGATATGTTAGAGTAATGGAGACGCTCGGAATTATCAAGGTTCCACTGTACAATCCTGATTCGATATTATTCCGACGATTTCATCGGTAAATAATCGAAACAGATTCTTTGGATTTCGCACTCAGTGCACACCTTTTTTATTTCCTAGCTTTTTTTAGTACTATTTAACTCGCGCGAACCGTGCAAGAGGAATCAAACGTAGCATTAAATATTATACCTTTCTAAGAAGTACATATTTTCTACGCACGCAAGTACATTGGTAACGAAAACGCTCTATTTGATTATAATTCGCTATTTTGCTTATGATTTCGTAAATTGACATTACGCGATGAAATAAATGGCTTATGCTAAAGGAAATGAAAGAGCAGCGATGAGCGCAACTCGGGAATTAAAAGTATCTCTATTCAGTCAAACAGGAAAGGATGTTTGTTTCGGCGAATGCTATTCGTACGATATAGGCATTCCACGATATTCAGTCGTGAAATCAATTTTTCAGATTCTTCGAAAAACCTGAAAAATTTATTCGATCGAAGTTATGATAATTATGCGCATACTGCATGTTGAGCATTTTTTTAAATGCTGATTTATGCTGATTTATATGAAGGCTAAATAAGTCAAAGATATCTCGTGCATTTTAACTTGATATTCTTCGATCGAAAATACCTGTCGAAGAAAATTTCATATTTGAATCAGAAATCCTCGTGTAAATAATAATTTCTCTATTGTTGACAAAGCTAAACTTCGATTTTCGTGCTTCGACTTTTAAACATTTATCCTCTCACTCGAAAGCTACGAGAGGAATTCTTATTAAGGGACTTGCTCTAATTCTTTATTTCTCAATCGCCTATACTTGCTAATCGCATTAAGAGGCAGGATAAGATTAAATGACGATCGTTAAACATTATACTTGATAATTAGATTAACGTTCAAGTTCATCATTAGGAGATCGATCAGCGTGAGTTAAAGGGAGGGCGTAAAATCGCCCAGATATTTTCACTCTTTGATCGAATCATTTATGACTTCGTGTCATACTAGAGCAAGTTTAGGAATGAAACTTCGCGCTATGGAATAGATTGGAATAGAATAGAGTATCTATTTATAGAAGTTGGGACGTATCCCTCAGGTAGAGTAAAGTAAGTGTAAGAGTTTAACGTTATAGCGAGTGACTCATTTGCTTTTTGCTTTCTTTGGTCGTTGATCTGTACAGTGCGTGACTTCAACATTTATACGCGTAAAGATATTTCGAAACCTCGCCTCGATTTTCACTTAACGAACATCACCATCCCACGTATCAATTGGTATTATTAATGAAGGAATTCATCTTCCTTTTCGCATTTATAGACGGAAAGAACAATATTACTGAAGCAAAAAAAATTTTGATTTGTTGGATTATCAAAATAATCATGTAAAACTTTGAAGGCAATGCTGTAAAACGTTTTAACATTGTAATCACCAGTTTAAACGTTCTACATAATTTCTTTAGTACAGATTCAAACAAAATTATCTTCAATATCTAGCTAAATTTTTAGATTTAGCAAAACTGATCTTTCCGCATCGCTTCACGAAAGTGGGAATGCCAAAAAGTAACAGTAGTAGATGGTTTCGGATTCTACGCGTAAATTTCTATCTGCACTGTATCGAGTCATAGCGTTACCCCGAGGGTCCTATTTTATTCTTTTTCTCCACCGCGGTATTCTTTCTCGGAGCAAAGGACATCTTCGGGGCGAGCTACTTGTTGCGGATGTGTAAAAGCTGATAAAAAAACGATTCGTTTTACCGGCTATGCTTAAAGGTAATAACGACTTTCCCGCTCTCGCCGTGAGAGAGAGGGTAGATATACTTTTAGGCACTGAATCGCACAGTTTTCCGCACCTAGGAATTCCCCTGGAGTGACACCGATGAACTAGTGCGAAGGAGGGGCGGGATTACACACAAGATTCAGGTTCGAGTTCACGCATCTTCGTTGTCCCGGCCGACATCATACTATCTGCTGCTTGAGCTTCACCAGATTCGTCGCGCCGTAAAGCTTCATGTCCAACGGCGCGCTCGGCTCGTTCTTCTTCGTCTGTGTGTGCCAGGCTAGCACCTTAGTGCAATTGTCCGCCAGCAGTTGGGCGTCCCGTGGCTCGAACGGTGCCAGGCTCTTCAGGAACCCATCCTCCTCGTATCCCGCGCGAAACGGCATGGTGGCGTTCGGCCGCTGATGCAGGAACTTGACGTTCACGGCGAATCCGGCCATGTCCACCGGGAACTTCCGTCCAGCTACCCAACCATCATAGAAACCTGCGAATTTTCCGTTCTTCAAGATTGGCGAGCTCAGTCCGAACTTGGTGCACAGTCCCACCGGAAACATCGACACTGTTTTTGTCTTGCGAATCTGAAAAAAAAAAGCACGTTAAGATAGATCTTTTAACAACAAATCTCAGATCTTTAGCGAAGTAAATACTTGTAACCAGTCGTACCTCGTCGAAAAGTTCAATATCATAAGTATTGTCGTCGTCGGCGAAGTAGAACACACCTTTTGTGGCGTTCGCCCTGATCCACTGTAAACCACGATTTCTGTTCGACACCCCTCGCGGTTTGGCGCCCTTTTTAAGCTTGTACTTTTCCGGCATCGGAGCTGCGCAAATATAACACACAAACCATTCATATATCGAGAAAAATGTCTTTTTCTTCTTTTTACTGAAAAAAATCATATCACAACGTTACACGATGAATCATGTAATTAAAACATGTAAATCACGTAACAAATTATTTCAAATCAGTACGTGATTTTTTAAATAACGTATTTTGAAAAATCACATAATATTAGAAATAATTTTATTCATCATGTGATTTTATAATTGTCAAATTTTAAAGAATTGAATGATAGAAATGATTGATAGAAGAAAAAATAACATATCATGTGACTTTCAAAATTACGTAAATTTAAAAAATCACGTACTGATTTGGAACAATCCGTTACATGATTTACGTGGTTTAATTTATGTAATTTCATCATGTAACTATGCGGCGTGATTTTTTTCAATAGGGCTGGACACCTCTCTCATGTGCTTGTGGTGTGCATGATGATTATTCAATTGCTACGAGCATATGGAACCTACAGTTTTAATGCCGATTCTAAACGGCGAATTTTTCGAAAGATATTTCTGTTGCAAGGATACTCTCGGGAGGATGCCGGCCTTTTCTAAGAGGAGCGTAAATATTTTGGTATTAATATTTACTATTGAAATTGAACCCGGGATCTCTGGCATGATAGACCAGTGCGCTGTCTGTCATGCCACTCTCGCGCTTGAGAAAAATGTCTGAGTGGATTAATTAAAACTCTGGCCGAAAATAGACGAATTAGAATTTTCTAGAATTTTTTAGTTGAGATAAGACTGGAATTTTTTCTGATTGATATAATCAGAATCTTCTGATTCGCCAATCAGTTCGTTTTCAACCAGAACATTTCTCTTAGGCCGATATTCATAGAAGATTCATATATTTAAGGTTGTCTTAAGTACAGTCTTAAATATAAGAAACCAATCAGAGGGCCGTATTAGCATCTTAAGACATTATTTAAGACAATTTTAAGATAAGAACTATGAATATCATTTTTATATTATTATATTGCATCAGCTATCATATGCGATTTTGCAACAGATTTATGTCTGAAATATTCACTTACCGATTAAATGATCGAACTTCAAGCCCGTTCTTTCCAATAATGTGGTAACTTGCTTGGTAGCGACGGTAGCGTCTTCGATGACAAGCCAATGTATATTTTTGACTAGCATCAAGGTATGAGCCATCCTCGTGAGTTCGGGAATCTGTTCGGGTCTTCGATATGTGGGTGTGATGATGTATAGGGGTTCTTCGGACGATTCCTCGGAAGGGACCGACGGACGAGGCGTTACCGCCCTGTGTATCGCCATCGCCGAGAGTTGCGATTGCGGCGGAGACTTGAAATGATTTCTGGAGGCCACCGAGACGTTTTCGCTTAACTGATTGATAAGTTCCTGCACGAGCATCGAGCTTATTTCCGGACTCAGGCCGTTCGTGATTTGTACTTGGTACACGGCGTATCGAATCTGCAAAAAAATGATAACTCGTTTGATAAAGTACCGTGATGACAATTAATTGATATGTAACAGTTAGATAACTGGATCCATTGGGTGTGTATTCAAAACCCTATTCGCTGTTTGTAGGTAATTACATGATTAATCCAATAAATAGCAGTATCTAATAAATAGCTTGTGCAGACTGTTCATTTAACTCGATTGCATCAGCTTATTACTCAATTTGTTCATTCTGTTATCATCAATAAAACAAAATGCAGACTGTCGTGGTTATGATATGTAATATTTCGTAAGTAATTATTGGTTGTTTTCTACAATCAAAAGATGGTTATTAATTTCAATAGTTTATATTATTGTAGCTCTGTATTCGTACTTTATAATATTATATATTCAGTTTATATTTTTGTTACAACGTTTCGTAATCAAAGAGAAGAAATTCTTTGTAAGTTAAACCAATATGGCCAACCTATAGATATATTGTACACATCGATTGTAAGATTCCTTTTGTACTTTTGTTACTCCAGATTATGGATTCTAATTCATCTTGGAAATATATAGTTAAACGTTAAACATCGTGGAAATATATAGATAAAGAAATAAGTAAATAAGTCCATTGTTTGGAAAATAATTTTTTGCGTATTCTTATATATCAATAAACATGTCAATGTATTCATAAACTTATAATTTTATAAAAATAATATTGAATTACTTTGACTTCTCCATTTTTCTAACACTTTTTTTTATGAAAAAGCGGAGTATATATATATATATATATATATATATCCAATACGTGATGTTATTTTTTTAATATTATTTTTTTTAAATCTTCACAGCATCTATATATAAATATTTGAAAATGTCTCATATTTTTTATTTATATTTAGAAATGTTCTCTCTCTTGAATATAACTACTAATTTCCAATTTTGGACTCGACAAAAAATTAGAAAAAATCTCAAAGCTTAGTAGGGACATATAAGGTCCTGTTACTCCAATAAATATTTTGATAAAATGGGTTTCATTCTAAGAAAATAAATCTCGGTATATGGCATAATAAATATTAATAATTATTTTTTACCATTTCCTCGGCGAGCTTTGGGGTTTCGCTATCATCCTCCTCACCGACCGGCAAATCCTCGGCAGCGTTCGCGGAAGTATCGGCATTGAAGACCGTTACTTGATCGAAAGTAATGCCAGTGGACAGGAGATATTGATAAAAGACTACGAAGATCCCTATCAAGGCGATCACTCCCATTTTCATGGACGGCTTCATTATACTGATGCCTGAGGTCACGAAAAAAAGGAACATTCAGAAATAATAGTGAGAAAAAGAATAATATATTAGCTTAATTGTGATTTTAACGGAGTGCTACACGATAAAAAAAAAAGAAAAACGGATGATTTTCGATTAAATATTTGAAAACGCGCATTAAGCTGTATTTAATGTTTTTAATCTCACTCGGAGAACGGAGGTGGAAGATGAATCGGACTGTACATTAAAAATGTACCACATCTCAACTTGTTCCACCAACTTTCCTGCTTGGCGGAAAGCAGTTACTCTCGCGTTCTATTCTCATATCTCCTACGAACTGTGAGTTTCCAATTTTAATCTGATTCACAGTTCAATCCCATTCTGGTAGAGATGGGGCACTCCATTTGCGGGCATTAGCGTGTATAAATGTATATCATGCGAATTTTATGTGCGTATAAAATGTAAATTTAACGGCGAACGAAACGAAATGCGAAGATTAACTGTTGGAGAGGTCTGTGAATTAAAACCTGATATTACATTGAAACGCATTTCCCGCCTGCCCGTATTAAAAGCTCGACGCGCAGACGATCCCGTTTCCGCGTGATCTCGAGCGGAAAACGTCGGAGCTGTCATAATAGCCCGTCGGGTACAGAAGGTTGAAACAAAGATGTGCTCACTCACCCGAATGCTACATGTGTCTGCTGTTCCGTCGTTTCCTCTGCCTCTCCTGAATCGCGAACTGCTTCTTGCCCTGTCATAAAAGTAATTAGCTGCCGTAAATTCTCGGATATCTCATGAGGTTTTTATATCTAGAGCAGTACGGTAGGCAACCGCTGTAATATCCACACATATATATATATATATATATATATATATATTTAGCACAGATTAAAATTTTCGACGTGCGTAAATGAACCCTCGGATCACCGTCTGCGTATCGATAATCACGATTAATTGCGGTCGTCCGTACGGATTTAATTATTATAATTCCATGACGCGGATCCGCTTTTGGCAAACATGCGCAACGGCTCTCGGCCGGGCCGATTCTCAGTGCGATCGAAGGGACGATCCCGCCGAGGTTTAATTATTTTCGTGGGTCATGTGGCATTTCCCGAAGGCCCGGATTCGCTCGGGGGTGGCGAGGGAGGAAGAAGAAGAAGAAGAGGAGGAGGAAGAGGAAGAGGAGGGCGCAGGCGTAGCGACTAAGCCGATAGCGCGGTCGCCGGAAGAACATCCGTCAGGATCTCGCGGACTTTGGCGATAAAGCGAGACGACGTTTAAAGCGAAGGACCGTCGCCCGTCACTAACGAGCGACGATAACGTTCGAGATTTATTTAACGAACGAGACGTGAGATACGTGGGTGTTTGCTGCTATCCCCCCCGGGATGCACGTGAAACCGGGGAATCCCATGGGCAGCGTCGTAATTTCCACGGCCTTCCTGCCTTTCTATTCTAACAAAACTCGTCTCTCGCGACTTGGACTCGTATTCGAGAAAGAGAGAAGTGCATCAATTGCTTCGCTACTATTTCTTCTCCCCGATATCAAACAGCCGGCATTAACCGCGTCTATCATTAATAACTATTGTCTTCCATCCGACGCAACGTATTGCCCCCTCGCGATTTTATAGCCTCTTTAGCACGAAGAAATAATAGATGTTCAACAATGTTTACGACGTATGATAACGGGTTAAGAGTAACTCGTTTAATCCTTATCTTTAGTACTCTTCGGGGGATCCTTTCTGTCTTTAGTGTTGAATATATAAATTTATTTTAAAAAATCCAATAGAATACAGTTCTCTGAATAACATTTTGAAGACATCCTTATAATGTTATAATGTAGACGTCCTTTAAGACAGTGTTGTATGAAATAATTTTTTTCTCATAATTATAATATACTACACAAAGTACGGATGACATTTTGAAGTGTATCAAGTATAACAACACATTAAAATGAGAGAATGAAATACTATACTATAATATAGATAGCGTAATGAGAGGTGCGGAAATTGAAAAGGGATTTTTACATCGATAACAAGTAGAAAAATGTAGGAATAAAATCGAAAATGAGCAAGATCTCCAGCAGCAGCATACTTGACGCGCCCGTCTTGTTTATAATTCGTGCAAAAATATTTTATTATAATTAACTATTTTTATTAACTATTTTTCACAATCCTTTCTATCTTGAATATATAGTGTTGAATATATAAATTTGATCTCTCTCTTTACCGTCCTTTTTCTATATTCATCACTTCGTTAAGCGAAGAATGCGACAGTAAGTATACTCTTTGAGAGTTGATAATGACAATCTTTTGAACATTACACGACGTAGCTCGAAAATGCTCCCTTTTCTAATTTACTTTCAACGCGTCGCTATCGCAACGTTCTTACGTAAGCAACGTCATATGCAGGACGGCGCTCTAAATTACACGACACCAAGAATTTAACGCTATCTCTCCTATATCGTCCGTCACAAACGCGTTCTTTCTCGCCTGGCCTGGCGACGTCAGCAGCAAAAAAAAATAAAACCGACACTGATAAGATCTACTGTCTTTACCTTGCGCAATGAAAAACATGCTGTTTAGCAGCAAATAAAAATGTGATAAAAATGTGGTGAAGAATAGTGGAAATTCGCTAATTAAGAATCGATTCACATCACGACGTTACTGATTGTAAAATCAATTATTAATGTGAAACCAATCTGGCCTTCTATTCGTCGCGCTTCGACATTACTCTGACATTTCTATTGTAGAACTTGAATAGAATCTTCCTTACTACTATTCTAGGAATGTTGGAGTAATGTCGGAATAAATATTCATTTCGATGAAAAAAGATATCGTGAAATGGTTTTTTCTTTTTTACATTAATGATAAGAGATGTTTAAAAATCTATTTAAATGTAAATGTCACTTTGCTTTCTTTCTTTCTTTCTCGAAATCCTCTCAAACTTATCTGACAATTTTCTGATAAGATTTCAGATTGTCTGAAAATTTCGAATAACCGATATGAAACAACTTTCCATCACACCGTAATGATAGTTTAGCTTTGTTAAAAGAAACGCGGGTTACGCGAGAAAATGATTATCTTTCGCAATCAGCGGTAAAACGGTAAATCGAATTGGTAAATAGACATGCAGTCAGACGGAAAGAGCAAACAGTTAAATTTCGATTTAACTAAATGGCGGAAGGAGTGATAATCTGTCACTGATCGATCGACGTAATTAAGTATCGTGGCAAATGCGTTTAATTCAGCGTAATGTGGCTTCCTCCATAAATTATGAGACGCCAATAAGATTTCTTAAACGCATCTATTTTATAGCGACACAATGTTTGATCGATGCGAATTGTGAACGAATAATCCAATATAAATGAAATTCGCAATATCGTTGATACAATAACAGGATTTACTCACATCGGTTATTTGAATTTCCGTCATCTGCGTGAAAATATTTCATTGCCATTAATGATATCCATTCAAATGTATGTCAAGTTTTTAAAAGACTTTTCTATTGTAAAATACCAACAAGGTGACAAGTGTCTCAAAGTGACAAGTAGTACGCAGTAAAAGCATATCGATTGTGCCATCTATATAGTTGTAGAAGAAGTGCCATTGTGTATTTATCATAGTCCCACAGGGAGAGAACGATTTTGTTGAAGTTATCAAAAATTTAGCGGAATACAGACCTTTTTACTTACAGAAAATAATTTTAACATTCTAGCAATCAGTTTGAGTGTTCTACTTAAAAATTGTGATGGTCTAACAAAATAATTTTCTGTATCCAGCTAAATTTTTGGATACTTCAGCAAAAATCGTTCTCTCCGTGCATAATATTTTTTAATTTAAATCTTGAATTATATTATCGCAAAATTCACGTATCATTTTCCAGAAGTGTACAGTATTTTGAAAATTAATATCAGTTTATTATTGATTTTAATAAATATAAATAGTCGTTGGTAATTACTCTGTTCGCGATATGCGACCTTTCGTTGAAATGATAATTAATTTACGAGGAAAATAATTATTAAATATGCAGCTGTGTTGGAAATAGAACATATTATATATTTTATTCAGCCTTATAACGATTTCTTTTCGAGTATCCAATGCGACGATCGTCACGCAAGAAATTTCGCCACCATTGATCGGTCTCCGTTTAGAATTGTTTTCAATCGGTTATTGATCTCGTTGATTAATAATTGCAATGGCTGTCCTATTCGCCAGAAATTTCATATTGTTACGCAAGTTTTCGAAATCAGAGCTTCAATCGGATATGACAGACGTCATCGCCGTCACGGGGAGTCGTACAAATTACTAATTAGAAGGCAAGAAAGAATACGAGTGGTCCAACTCGGGCATTCTTCTTGCTTTACTTCCATGCTTCACTTCCATGTTTCGCTCGCATGAGAATTTCATGGTTGATCAGCTCGCACTAACTAACCATGTCAGATAATCTAGATAGGATCGTCGGTTTCTAAATCTAAATCAGTTTACGAATTAGTGGCGTTGATCAACGAGGCAATTTGTCGTCTGATTTAATCAGAGACGCATTCATGTTATTGAACATCCTTATATACTGAGAATAATATTCTGGTTGTACTAACAAGAAGTGTACTAACAAACGAAATGAATTCTGGTTATATGAATTAGAATTCTGGTTATCGTAATTGAATGTCTTGTTACCTCGACTAGAATTTAATTTAATTATAGATTTAATTATAAGCTGATTTGTATCTTTTGAATTTAGAATTTTCAGAATTCCAATGCAACAAGATTTTTCAGTGTAAAAACGAATGAAGTGTATGTTTCAGACTCGCATATATGGGTGTACGATTTTAACTCTGATATCGAAATATTTAACTGAAAAATGTAAGCTACAGAAAAATTCCAGGAAAGAGAAATATAAGATACGAAGACATTGCAGGAAATCCAGATGAAGTAATATTTTTCGAATTCCGGTTGAAGTAATATTTTTCTCGCAAATTGACAGATTTAAAAATGATTATTAGAATCAGGTTGTGAATATCCTTAAAAATTCTTTGTTAAAGATAGCCGTTACTTAAAAGAAAAAAATAAATCGAGTAATCAATTTTCTTAGCAATATAATGATATGTTTTTGTGTATATGAATTAATATTACTAAATTGCTTGACAATTTAATTTATAATATTACTGTTCTGTTTTGTTAGGATTGCGTTTTAAGACTGATGAATTTGGTGCGCAGTTTGCAGGATTAGATATATAAATATAAATTTACACAGAATTATTTAAGTACTAAAAATCCAGCTGTTTAAAGCTTTTATCTCCTAGTTGTTTTGTATTCACATTTACGACTTTAAAATACTTTGTTTAACATTATTTATATGAAAAATATTTCAGACAAAAACTGTATGATCTGAAAGAGAGAATAAATAAAATAGTAAAATCAACTATCGAAAAAAATCGATTTTTCAAAAATTAATTTTATCATTATTTGTTCTTTTTTAGATCATACAACTTTTTGTTTAAAACATTTTTTCATATCTTTTATATTTTTCAGGATATATTTCGATGTTAATGTTAAAATGGGACACTCTGTAATAAAAAGTGACATTAATAGGGCAAAACATTTATATTTCGAATCAGTTGGGTAATCATCAGTTGGTCCTTACTTTACGTTTCGTGCAAAGGCTATCCCATTATTAAGATTAGGGATGAGCTGCTCTCGCGCGGTATTAATGAGAAATCAGCTTAGTCACCAAATCCCTCATTTGAATCCAAGTCACGATTATTACGCGGCGTTTTTTTCCGTTGTTCAAGGTGCACGCAGTCAACGCAAATGGCGGTGTATAATGATTGTGTTGACGTATCTCAGTAGAAACGCCGCAATATCGCCAGACCGCGCCAACTTGGTCGGAACTTTTATATCGCGCACTTCCCACGGCACTTCACATCCTTCCAACTTCGATTAATTAAATCTCTGTGCTTTAGAGTCAAGGAACCGAACTAACCGAAATTTTAACGGCTTCGACAGGAACGCGAACATTCATTATCGAGTTAATGCCCCGAGTTCTCGTAGCCAATCTCGTTTGCATTAAGCCAGAAAACTGACTTTACACACTAAGAAAAATGTCCTAATTGTACAACAAGAAGTATGAACGAAACGAACTTTAATCATATGAATCAGAATTCTCAGAATCAGATAATTGAACTTCTATCTCGATTGGAAAATCGAGTTTGATAGATTGGAAAGAACAATTTTGCTCAAAAATATCTAAAAATTTAGCTAGATGCAGATCTGAAAATAATTTTGTTGGGTCACCGAAATAATTATGTAGAACATTGAAGTGTTGTTGACAACCTGCAACTAGTTTGAGCGTCCCACATAATTATTTTGATGGTCCAAACAAAATTATTTTCAGATCTGCATATCAAGCTAAATTTTTTATTACAGCAAAATTATTCTTTCCGTGTAGATTTAATTATACAAAAAGGACCGATTTTCTAAGTGCGTCAAAATTTAACTAGAGATACAGCTCTGAAAATAATTTTATTGAACCATCAAAATAATTATATAGAACGTTTAAACATTGCTGACAATGCTGCAAACAGTTCTGATAGTTTAAAAATCAATTTGAGCATCCTAATTTGATAGTCCAAATAAAATTATTTTCAGATCTGCATCTAGCTAAGTTTTTAAATAATTCAGCAAAATCGTAGATTTAATTATATGAAAAGGACGATTTCGCTAAAGTATTTAAAAATTTAACTACATATACTGAGAGAAAAGTATATCGTATGACTATAATTGCATGGTAAAATAATTATGGTTATGAACATCATTTTTATAATTATTATTGCTATAATATTAGTATATATAACAATATTATATGTATAATTACAACATTTTATAGTATAATTTACTATATGATTTATGTGTAAAATAAGAACGTACAATTAGTTAAATGAATACATATTATGATTATTATGATCATAATTTAGTGTTTAAGTTACTATAATTCATATGGTCAAAATAATTATAAATTATAGTTAAATTTATGGTTATTCCAATCATTTTTTTCTCTCAGTATATTAAACTGAAAATAATTTTGTTCAGACCATCATAATAACTATAGAATGCTCAAGATGGCTGCTAAAATATCAAAATTTTTTGTAATATTTGCTCATCATGCTTGAGCGTCTTATATAATTAATTTTGATGATCCAACAAAATTATTTTATTTTTCAAATTTGTATTTATCAAAAATTTAATACTTCAGCAAAATAGTTTCTGTGTATGATTTTTATCTTTCTAGTTGAATCTACTAGAATTCTAATTTCAACAAGAAACTTTTTTCAATAGTATATCTTCCTTTCCAAGTCTCACGCGCGTATTTAAACGCGTGATGCATACGCTTATCGCGGTCTGCAACTTTGCGGTTTTATTGGTGTTTCACCTATCTTGCAAATCTTCTAGCTGTATCTCATATTGTCGGTGCAATTTCGCTGCATTATTCTTATATGTGGAAATATGTACGTGCAAATTACGGAATTACTTTTCCGCAAGTAATATCACATGCTCGTTTCGAAACTATGCGCGACCTTAAGAGTTGCAAAACATGTGTGTTTGTTGTTATCGAGAATTTCTTAATGTTTCTTGGAATACATTTGAGATATATTTAAACTATCTATTATGCGCATAATTGCCCGTGCAATTTTCTCCATGACACAGGAATTAGCCTTGGAATATCGATTGCAATTTCATTCAACGTTTCAGCCCGTAAACGTCGCACGCGGCAGTCGCTATATATATTCAATCGTTTATACTAACCGGCTCGACTCGACGGAAACCAGAGCACGATAAATGCATCGATTAATGCAGCTTCCTTAGCTAGAACCACTTATCACCCGTATATAGGCTTTTGCATAGAGCTAGACAAATTAACGCACTCATCGTCGTGGCGCGAGTCAATTTTTCACCGCGTGCAGTCCGATTTGGCACTCTGGACGCGTTTCTAATTGCTCGCGGCTAAAAGAGGAACACTCCGTTTTCGGAACCAGGTATCCTCTCCGAGGCATCAATCAGGCCGCTCCGCTTCGTTTGGCACCTGACCCAGTTGATCCACGGGAGATCTCGTGGAATCGGACGGGATCGAAACGCGCATCTCGAGAACGTGTCTTAATGATGCCGTCCCATCAGAATCACGCGACGGAGACGACAATGACGACAATGGAAACGAGGCCGATGAAGACGAGGACGAGGACGGCAAAACGGCGACGCAATCACTGGCTGACTCGACACTGAAACGTTTCCTCCGGTTTCCTCCTACTCACGTGGCCACTTCTGTGTAACGTCGTTCGTAACATGCCCCACCACGCTATGATCGAAGAACTGATCGTCGTACGAGAGAATGAGAGAGACGTTTGTCCCACGTGTGCGTGCTGCGCACGGTCCACGGAACCGATCACGTGAATCTATTAGCAGATTGTGGTAATTCGGCGCTCCGTAGCAGCGCAGTAGCACAGTTTTCAGATTGGCGAACGCTTAACCCGTCGACTTGCCGACGTCGATTCACCTCGTTCGCGAGAGGTGAACTTAGAGAGAGGTGAATACACGGAGGCGAAGGATACACGGAAAGACACAGTTTTTTTTGTTAAAATCTAAAAATTGAGCTACATACAGATCTGAAGATAATCTTTTCATAGATTCACTGGATCTTTTTCGATCCAGGCGAAATTTCACTCCCAAATTTCAATTTTTATTTAATAAAGATTTTAACATTTGAGTTAAATAACTATTTGGCGATGTAACAGAGATGTTGAAGAGTAATCCGGAATTTTTCTAAATTTTTTGAAAGATTAAAAATTTGTTTTGGACAAAAAGACTCAGTAGGTCTACAAAAATATCTATGTCTATGAGAGGATAATTTTGTTTTGCCTATCGAAATAATTATACAGAACGTTAAGCTAAGGCTAGAATGTTAAAAACTTTTTGCAACTCGTGCTTGAATGCTTCGCTACATAATTGGGTTGGCTAAAAAGTCTTCTCGTTTTTTACTGATTCTGACATTCGATTTAGATATTTTTAGTTCTATGCGATACGTATTTTAAGTGGTGCGATGCAGATTATTTTCGATCAAGACCTTTATTCGCTCATCATCTACTTGGCCTACCAGAACGTTGCTCGTCTTCAACGGAGAAATTCTCACCACAGAACTTTCCAAACCAAAATTGGCACATGTGATGATTCACACAATCCTCACATTGCACGTGTCTTTTTTCGGGTTTTGCACTGCGGTTTTTTATCTTTATGGTAGTAATGTAGTATAATTTGACGAAAACGTGTCTTTTGTTCTTCCATTTTTAATCCTTTATAACAAACGGTAAACTCTATTGATATATCTCGATACTTTTTTGTTATAAGACAAAATTATTTTCAGATATGTATCTAATTAAATTTTTTAATACTTCGACAAAACTGTTTTTTCCATACAATAACCAAGTTAAGTAAACGTCATTTCTAATTATAATAGAATTATCGGGAATAAGAAAAATCAGACACACGAAATTTGCACGAAGTACACGATTTTTCCATCGCGTATGATATTAATATCTGGTTGCTGTGCGGAGCTTCGTAAAAATATAAATGGCATATGTTATTTCCTGTAGTCCATTCGCGACTACAAACGCAGGATATTTCTGAGCGTCGCTCAATAAAATCTAGATCGAAACCGGACATCTTTGGAGAACTTTACGAATAATACATGCGATCAGCTCGCATATCAATATTTCCAATCTTTCCGATGTGAATTAGCCCGATGTGAATATCAAAAATACGACCGCTTACGTATGACACTTAATAGGAAATATGTCAAAGCGATGCATGAATTATTTAACCCAGGAATTTTATTTTAGAAGTTATTTCTATTGATGTTTCTCTCTAAAAGTTGGATCGAAGAATGTAACCACTAATACCCATTGGACACATCTATAAAAATAGAGTTTGAAAGTATTTCAGGACGTTCCCTCGCGACATTACTGTCGAGCTTTTTATCGGTTCTGTCAAACGTACATATATCACTTACGTTTGTACAAATACACGTCGCCGGCAAATAAAGCAAATATATAAGAATAACTCCTGCATCTTTATTTTACAAAGCAAGCTGTACTTCTTCCAATGTCAACCTCGCTCTGACATTCTCTTTGCACGAAAGACACACGTGAAATATTACGTATGAGAAATGTCGCAATGTAAGTACGTCGCGTAAAAGTTTTCGCATATCGAATCGCAAAGTGTGCGCGAAATCGTGCGTTTCTCACGTTGTGGACGCGTTAAAAACGCATTGTCAGCGATCTCAGTTGAGTGCGGAATATCGCGCGACACAAATAGCCTCCGGTGGGAGCAATTTTCGTCGTGGCTGAAACGCGATTAGGCGCAACGCGCGCGGTTAATCTACCGGAATCGCGCGGAAAAACTTATAAATTCCTCCTATTATTAATCTTCCAATTAGCTCTATAAATGCGCGACATGCCCCGGCAAATGTATTCCACCCGCGTTTTACGTTACGACGTTATCGGATAACGTTGTAACTTACATTCGTGTTGGCTCGGAAGCTTACGCTAGCGGCGAAAATGATACGATACCGTGCATGGCGGCACGTGCTTGCGATTGCCGGCATATGAAAGAGAGAGAAGGAGAGAGAGAGAGAGAGAGAGAGAGAGGCGCATACACGTATACCTAGTTGTATAATGATCAATAACACGAGGCAGCAGAAGTGAGACAATGGAAGGACGATGAGAGACCGTTCCCGAATAGATATAAGGCGTCGAGTTTATAGTTCGATGGGCAATCGAGTTCTTATCTGGTGTGACCCGAATAAGTAATTAGCCGGAATGTAAAAATCACCTTTGTCACCGATCGCGATTGACTGATTAAATATTAGCAACATGAGGAAATGAAAATTTTATAACTTTTCCCCGATTTTCAGATAATATTTCGTCATCCTGATCCTTTCAATAATATTTTGAAAGTTTTTGTATTTTTGTTTTGATTTGGAAATCGTCAAATTGTATTAGGTGTTGGAATTAATTCGTAGCGTTTTTTAATGAAAGAATGTTATTTATTTCACATGAGCATTAAAAAATACATTAATGAAAGTACTTCCCATCACTTGTAAAACGCTACGAATTAATTCCAACACCTAATATTTTGCTGAACAATTTAACATAACAATGTAAATTACTGTTCTTTCGTAGGTACTGTGGGTCTTTTTTGTCCAATTTTTGTTCAAATTTTTTTACTGTTAAGCTTTAAAAAAATGCAAAAAAATTCAGGATTACTTTTCAGTATTTCTGCTACGTTGTCACAAATAGTTATTTAACTTAAATATTAAAACCTTCATTTAATACAAATTGAAATTCGTGCCACAAGAAATTTGAGAGCGAAATTTCGCCTGGATAGAAAAAGATTCTCAGTGCGACTACGATATTAATATTGTTGATATTGCTCGCATTTAAATTGGTTATTAAGTTGATAATATTCTAATGAATATGTATGATGTGTGGGCATATTAAATTTCTTTAAAAAAAGAATTTTGATTTTTCAGAAAATTTTGCAAAATTCCCTTACTTTTCCCTGATTTCTCTAACTTTTCTCTGAGTTTTTAATTTTCCTCACGTTTCCTCGATTTCCCTAAGTTTCAATTTTAGTGGCAAGTCCAGAAATTAGAGTTACTACGATTCTTTATAGCAATCCTAATTTCCTCATATTAAGTTGTCAAACGTGAGAAATTCAAACTGTTCTTAAATTGTTGATTAAATATTAATTACTCCTGCCGCAAAAGACAACCCGAGGCGGCGGTTTAATTTCATTAAAATTTCCGGTAACACGAGAGGTCAAGCTCAAGTGGATGGCAAATATCTGAATCGTATCAACATACACACTGTGAACATTACACATGTAGGCAGCTTTACACAGCAATGTTAACAAACGGATGCTAATAAACGGGGATGCATCTAATCATCGCGTTCGTTCGAAGTACAAAATATTCGAAATGTTAGACTATGTCTACAGTATTTATTCGATAATCATTCGGAACAAAGTTTTAATGTCAGTTGGCTTCAAGCGCAAAGTATCGTTGACATTTCCGGAGTACGTAGCTATATATACCAGAAGTTACAGAGCAAGAGTCCTGATTCGAATAAAAATCACGCGAATACAACACGACGTTTCAATACTACCTAATCCGGTTCTTTTTTTTTCGAGGTAATTCCCTACTGTGTAAACAACGATCGTGTCGTAGACGATGCGGGGATGGATACAACGCGGAAGTTTGATCGATTCGCATTCAAGCCGGGCGAATTTCGGGTTGAATATTTGCACAAGCTACCCCTTCAGTTCTGCATTTGCTTTCCGAGCACGTTGCCGGTCCAGACGGGATTCTCGAAGGCGCAATCTCGCGAGGTCGTGTAATTTGTAACGCAACTTTCGGTAATGCAACTTTCGGGGTCCAACAACTAATAAGAAGTTCTTTCCCGCCGACCGGTGTGCACGCTATAGCCACCTATGGCGCCCTTTGATTTGGAGGGCACATGGCCACCCTGCTGCTAGCTGGTCGATAACGCTTTCCCTTCTCCCTCTTTCAGTTTTGATACCCCTTTACCTTCCCTCAATTCACCTTTTACCTATAGCGACCCATGGGCGTCGACAGAACGAAATTTTTCAAACGATAGAAATAGTGCTACAAATAAATAAATTGACCACTGTTATAGTACACCTTAATTATAGACTTTTTCCTGTTCGCAACTCTGATTTCTGCAATAACTAAATAACCATGATGCAAGATATATATCATGCGCTGTTTACACGTTTTGTTATATATTTTGTATATTTATGTATTAGTAATAGCTTGTATTTTAGTATTTGCATTGATAAGAACCGAAATCAATGATTGAAACGCATGTACGCTTGTTAAATGTTAATAAAAATTTCTTTGCGCATCCCGTTAACCGCGTTGGCTTTTAATTGGTAATTTTTGTTCCCTTTTTTTACATTAAATAAAATGTATTATTGATGTTTCATGAAAAGAGAGAGATGTGTATACAGGAAAACAATAACGAGACATTATAGTCTTTTAGTTATATGGGAAGAACGAGTTTGCTCAAGTATCTACAAATTTGATTATAAATACAAATTTAAAAATAATTTCGTTGGATTACAAATAATTACTCAGGATTGCCACAGACCTGAAAGAACCGGGAAAAGTCAGGGGAAAACAGTCTGGAATATTGAAATTTGCTCACAATTTTCTTAAACTGCTCCTATTTCAGATAATTGTTATAATTTTTTTATATTATATCTAACGTA